AACAACAACAACAACAACAACCAGCCTTTATTAGGACAGTAAGCTGGGTTGGGGTTTTTGTTTTTTGTGTGAATTAGTTTTGCCTCCTATTACTAAAGATATCAAACTTATGCCCATGCCCAGTCTGAGTTTTTTAAGGAAGTTTAATCAGGCCCCAACCAGAACTTCCTTTAAAGAGAGAGAGCATCAGAGAGTGAGCACAGTGTGTAAACAAGCACAGCCCTGCCTACTGTGAGGTCATATGCCAGAGTTCCTCTTTAAACGCTTTCCCTGAAGTCTAGTCATCCTCCTAAGGGTTCTAGAGAGGTCAGAAAAAAGTAAAACGTCACTGAGCACCTGCCACACCCTTCCTTTTCTATAGTCTCTTCAAAAAAGGCCTAACCCACATCACCAGCAGTGTAAAAACCTTAAACATCCTGTGAAGATGGAACTAAGTTGTTTTGCTTGCTTTTGCACCTGTTGAGGAAGTTTTCGGTATTTTGAACTTTTAGATAACCGGACACAACCGAAAGCAGTCAGGTGTATTTATGTTCACCACATCAGCTGGCTCAAATACGTAGCTCTGAGTAAACACACGTTATGGTTAAGGCCTAGAGTCAGCAAGGAGTGGGCTTTGGAGTTTGATGGAGATTTTCCATTTACTAGCTGTGTGAGCAGGGCAAGGTGCCCATGTTCAGTGAGGGTATTTTATCAACCAGAGTCTGCACCAGCCCTGGGGTAAATGAGAGAGAATGCAAGTGAATCCTTCAGGACAGTACGGCCACAAGGCAGGTGCGCGGGCAGCGATTTCAGGGATCAAGTCCGTCCGCCTTGGCTCCGGCCTCGGAATTGGCTCCAAGGTCATTTTAGCAGAGCAAGGTCATCGCGGGCAGTGGTGTGGAAAGCACCCAGCGCTGGCCACCGCCTGCACGCTTCCGGGCCTGTTGGAGCCCAGGTTCTGCCTGAGCCTTGGACGGCTGACCCTCTGGTGGCTCGCAAGCGTCCAGAGTTCACTGCCTGGGGCTGCAGACTCACTGCCCAGAGGCCAGCGCAGCGCGGGCCGTACCAGCTCCCACGCGCAGTGCCGCACTGCAGGGCCCAAGGTCCCCCCAAATCCTCAAGGTCCCCCCAAATCCTCAAGGTCCCCCCAAATCCTCAAGGCCTTGTTCTCAAGTCTCCTGGGCCCGGGTTTGGGGGGGTATAGGTGCAAGGGTCCCGCAGAACCCCAAGGGACGGAGCCGGGTATTGAGGGGCGGAGCCTTCCGGGAAGAGTGGCGTGGCCTCCCCGGATAAGGGGCGTGGACTTCCGAACGGGGCGGGCCCTTCCGGAAGGCGGGGCGTCCCGCCGGAAGGGGCGGGGCCTGTGTCCTTCACGGAGGCCGGGTCGCAGGCTTCTCCGGACACCTGCTCTTGGCGAGGCCGGTGTCGCAGCACCATGTTGTGCCGGGCTGCGTGCAGGTGAGCGGCTGCCCCGGCGGGGTGGACGCGGTGGGTCGTGAGGCTGCCAGGGGGGGACGTGGGCATGGACCCCAAGGGCGCAGAGGGCAGGGCGGCGGGGCCACGGTGCCGCGGACCCCCGTGTCCTTCTCCTCCGCGGCCCCGTCTCCGCGGGCGCATTCAGCATACTCAGTGTTGATTTAATACCATGCAAATATAGCGTATTGCTTCCAAAACCGAGGTCGGTGCGAAGGAGCGCGTGCACGTTCGTGCATGGCGCACGCGCCCCGCCCGGGTTCTCGGGGGACTCACCTGTGCTCCCCATCTTTGCAGCACGAGCCGGAAGCTGACCCCCGCTCTGGAAGCTCTGGGGTGCAGGCAGAAGCACAGCCTGCCGGACTTGCCCTATGACTATGGCGCCCTGGAGCCCCACATCAACGCCCAGATCATGCAGCTGCATCACAGCAAACACCATGCCACTTACGTCAACAACCTGAACGCCACCGAGGAGAAGTATCAAGAGGCGCTGGCCAAGGGTAGGGGGGCCTGCGGGACGACCCACAAACGATGTCAGGGCCGGCCGGGCCGTTCCACCTCCTGGTAACCCTCACTGTCCAGTGAGCGAAACACTGCCCACTTCTGATGGCACAGGGACATTGAGAGGTGTCCCAGACCGGAATGCAGCCTTACGGAGGGGTGTCTGTGTGTGTGTGTGTGTGTGTGTATGGACACACATACATACACACTTATTATAGAGGGTTAGTGGCTTGGAGGGTTTACATGAACTTCTTATATTGCTTTAGAAAACTTAGAATCCTGTAAATAAATTCAAGTTCATAAATTTTATCATTATGGTTCCAAGGGAGCCTCTGAATTTCATTCGGTAAGAAGCTGCACTGCAATCCTGAAAGCACACAGTTCAAATCCACCATCTGCTCCGCGGGAGAAGGATGGGCAGTCACCTCCTGTGTGATTAACTGCCTCCGAGAACCTGCTGGAGGGTCAGCCGTGGGTTGGTTCTGTCTTCACAGCACACAATAGCAGCATATCCTGGAGCAGATGAGATGTCACTGTTGCTGTTAGGTGCTATCACACTGATTATGACTTTTTTTTTTACCAAGATTTAATGTACATTTATTCTTAACACGTGGAACATATACACTGATTATGACTTATAGTAACTCTGCACCGTCAGATCTGAGCCACGTCCTATTCTGTACTGTTCTCATGATCTTTCATACACTTGAACCTATGGTTCCAGTCTCTGCCAATCCGTCTTCTTGAGGGTCTTTCTCTAGTGTGGGTTAATTGTAGAGCATTTTAAGAAAGCTGTGACAGGTAACAAAAATGCATGTGCCCCAGGAGGGGCAATGGTTTGTGCTTAATCATGAACCTGAAAGTTGGTCGTTCAAGCCACCTAGTGATGCCGCAGAGGAACAGTCTGGCAGTCTGCTTCTGAAGACGGTGCAGCAGGAGCAGGTGAATTCTTGGAGCTGCCTTGGGTTGGAATCTGTGTGCTCTGGCAGTGGGAGTGCGTGTGTGCCTGTATTTGTGTGTGTATGTGTGCTTTAGCACTTAAAATTAGTTCCTCTTATGTAATATGCTCCTGAGGAATGTTTGGTCTCTGGGGTTTCCTTTGCAAGGTGGCTGAGTGTGTCTTTCCGCTTGTGGTCCAGCCTTGGAGGACACATGCACCCTGGGGTGCCAGCCCACCACTCATGGCCTCCTGAGTTGGCTTCTGCACCAACACATCTGATGGCAGTGGGAGCGGGTTTCTGTTGTCAGTATCCAGAGTTCGTCATTCTGAAGCTCACTTCTTGAACAGTAGGTGGGATGAGGTTGACAGCCTCACTGTTATCCGAGTTCTGTCCAGCCAGTGAACCAGCCCCTGTAAGCAGTGTGGACACTGACAGCGGACGTGAAGGGGAGAGTCTTCTGAATGCTTGTCTTGTGACAGGAACTGTTGCCAGTGGTCTTGTTTTGGGGACTGGTGGGATAGGAATCCAGACTCAGGCGGGGAGGGTCCGAAGCACGCATCTTGTTAATAGATAGCGTGCTCCTTTTACCCTGGAGACCCCTGGAGGCTTCCTGTCTTCCCTTGTGTGGGAGGCAAGGAGGCAGATGGCAGCACGCTGATGGTCATTGTCCAGCGGTGGAACTGTTTCAGCCCTTTAGACTGAACATGCTTCTGGAATTATCCAGGGGTCAGATATGGAAAATAGCACTTTATGGAAACTGAAATACTCTTACATCTATTTTCTAATATTTAGAACTTAATTAAAATGTGGGACAGAGGGTTGTGTGTTTTTTTTTTTAACTTAATGGTTTGTTTTTTTTTAAATTTTTTAAAAATTATTTTTGTGTGTGTACCATCACATCAGATCTGACTGGTACGGAGAAGATTGCCCCTCCTTCTCCGGCAGAGCATCTGGTGGATTTGAACCACATACCTTCTTGGATTACATTGTAGCTTCTTAAAAAAAAAAAACAAACCAAAAACCAAAGCAAAACATTGTAGCTTCTTGCCACTAGGCCACCAGAGGTCCCTTGGTGTTTTTTTTTTTAAAGTATTCATTTGGCAAAACTCGAGAAATTTTTGGTTTTGGGAATCCTATGATTAATGTTTCCGTAGAAAACTCAAATATGTGGTGTATGTAGAGATTGTATATGGAGATTTTATATACACTCTCATGGCTTTAGTGGTTTAATTGATGGCTGTTAACTGAAAGATTAGGGGTGTGGACTCACCAGCTGTTCCTCCAGAGGAAGATGAGGCGGTCAGCTCTCATAAAGATTCACCCTCTGAGAATCCTGTTGGGGAGGTTCTGCCCCGGAGGCTCCCTGAGTGTGAATCGACTTGGTCCAGGGCCGTGGAGTCTGCTGTGACTCCTAGTGACCCCGTGTGAAGGAGACCCTGACCCCGCACCACCCTCAAAGGCTCTCTTCTGCTTATGCCCGTCGTGGCTGTCACTGTTGTCAGGTCTTTGTCATGGAAGATCTTCCTCTTTTTTTGCTGCCACATTACTTACCCAAACTCTGAGTCGTCCAGGGATTGGTCTTTCCCGACAGCATGTCTAGAATATGTGAGTTGAGATCTCTCCATCCTTCCCAGATTTGTTTTGTTTTTGGATCCGTCTATATATATTTGCCAGTATCACACTTCAAAGGCATCAGTTCTTTTATGATCTTCCTTGTTTACCTCCCAACTTGAGAATAGATATCAGGTCAGTTGTACCTCAGTCTTTAAAGTGACATCCTTGCTCTTTAACACTTTAAGGAGGCTTCTTGGCAGCAGTCTTCAGTCTGTTAATCAGTGTCTTGAATGAGAAAAATAATTGACAATGTTTCTAGAATGTATGGATAGCCTAATAAGCAATGTAATTAAAAAAAGTTCTTTGGTATGTTCTTGTTGAATTTCAGACTTAAGAAATTTGAGTGGTTTTTAGGGATCTTACTGACCAGTGGCATCTAGTGGAAAAGTGTAGTATTTCAACCCAAAAAGGAAGTTGCCACATTTTGGAAGCTGTGCTGCTTGTAATTAGGGCAACCTTGACGTGAGAAAAGTTGTATGATTTAGGAAGTGACGGATTGTGAAGGATGTGGTGATGGTCAGGAGGCCAGGGGAATGTCCCAGTTGTGAAAGTATTTCCTGCATGGCCACGTCTGACGTCCATGAACTTTGCCATTATTTTAAGAACAGTTTGACTTCAGCTCTTTTTTTACATAATCAAGGTTTTACTTATTTGATGAAAGCTACTGGAAAAAAGGGCTTTTCATTATTTTATTAGGTACTGCCTGTCAACCGGTAAGTACCTACAGAGTTGGAAAAAAAAACAAAACCCACAAAACCCTGTTAAAATTACTTAAATGTAAACTATTTTGGCTTGAGAGTTTAGGAAAGAGGGGAATTAATAAAAGAATATCTGTAACCTCATCATATGACTAACATGCCTTTTCCAGAAACTTGCTTAGCTTCTAATTTTACTGGGTTTTATTTTTCCTGGAAAAGAGATGTAGACATGAAAACAAAGATGTTGTTGAACTTCATAAAAGTGGTCTTAAAAAAATAGGAGTTAATTCCTTGAAAAGGACATCATGCTTGGAAAGCTGGAGGGATGTCAAAGAGGAAGATCTTCAAACAGGTGTACTGACACAGTGACTGCAGCAATTGGCATGAGTGTGTCAGAAGATGTGAGAATGGCAGAGGATAGGACAAGGTTCAGATCTATTGTTCATAGGGTCACCATGGGTGACTCGATGGCACCTAACAACAATAACAGGAGACCATACATAGGTCAGGAAAGAGATATAGGCAAGTATAATGCTCCTTAATTCCCGTAAAGAAAAGTGATTATGCAAAAATAATGAAACTCCCTCAGAATGAGTTTGTGCCTCAAAGCACACTGTCCTAACTGTACTGACTCCTACAGTCAAAAGGGCTTTATCGTAAGAGTTCAGTTTGGGTGTCGAGAGAGATGACTAATTCCATTTTGAAGGGATTCCCAAAGGACAGTCAGGTTGTGATGCTTCCCAAAAGGAGTTAAAAATACAATTTTCAGCAATTCTGCATTGTCTCCAGAGTGCCAATGTCTTGCCTTTCCTAGGTCTGTGTTTATGTATAAACTAATTTTGCAACATGAACAGGAGCTTAATTCAGCCAAAACCCCTTTTCTAAATTGTATCTTGATAAAGTGTGTTGGCAGAAAGTGGAACAATCAATTGCCATCGTCATCTAGCCGAAGCCTATGCCATTTTACTTCTAATAGTAGAGTGTCAGTGGTGCTTTGCATTGATAGTTGTATTTTATGTTACTGTATTTCCAAGTGACCCAATATCTCATTTGATGATACAGCACATTTTTATAATTGAGCCCATTGCACGTTTATTTTGTTTGGTAATTATTAGAACTCAAATCAAATAGTGATCACATGGTTCCATTGTTTTAACTTGTGTGTAGAAGTGTCAGAAATGAACTTTTGGTTAATATTTTAGCAGGCAAAAAAAGGACCAAGTTAAGGGAGCTCTGGTGGCCTAGTGGCAAGACACTGCACTGCAATCCCAGAGGTACACGGTTCAAATCCACCAGATGCTCTGCTGGAGAAGGAGGGGGCAATCTCCTCCTGGAGCAGTCAGATCGGATTTGATGGTACATGTAAAAATAATACAATAAAAATTTAAAAAAGTGCCAAGTTAATGTGTTTATAATGAATACATATTCTCTTAAAATATAGGAGTTAATATCCCCAAATTTCTATTAAAAATTTGAAATGATTTTATAAACTTTGAAGATGTTTAAGTTACTGAATTATTCCTTACTATTTCTCAATTAGAGAAGTTTAGTTACTTTTGGTTTATCTGAGGAGCCCTAGGCTGAAAGGTTGGTAGTATGAATTTACCAGTTGCTTCACAGGAGAAAGATTTGGTGTTTCATCCTGTAAAGATTTACAGCTTTGGGAAGCTGGTGAGGGTTGCTGTGAGTTGAAACTGATTTAAGGCATATTTGGGTAGGGTTTATTGGTTTTATTAGGAGCTCTAGGGGTATAGTGCATAATTTATGTGGCTGCTGACTGAAAGGTTGATGGTTCAAATCCACCAGACACTCTGTGGGACGAACATTGGCAGTAGACACTTACAGCCTTGGAGACCGATGAGGAATTCCAGAGGGTCAGATGGCATGCACCTTTTAGCTGATTGTAAGAACTTGGGGCTTGCCCTGAGGTGAGGTGAGCAGGTTTTGGAGGGCTTCGAGTAGATTTTGGCGTGATTGGCTTGGGGCTTTAGAAGATCCCTCTGGCAGTTGGGTTGTGAGCAGATGATGGGACAGGTGTGGCCCAGAAGGCCAGTGAGGAGGAGGCCGCACCAGTGCAGGTGGGAGGTGTGGTGCCAGGGGCCAGCGCGGTGGCAGCACAGGCGGGAAAATGTGATTGGATTCTGGCCCTGCTTTAAAGGTCGAGCTGGCTTTGCTGTGGGTTAGATGCAGAGGATGAGCGAAGTCACAAATGACCTCAAGGAATTCAAAATGAGAAGCATTTACTAAACATTTACCAAGGTGGCGAAGGCTACAGGAGTAAAAGGTTGGTAGGGAAGGAAGACATCAGGAGTTCAACTTTGAATGTGGCCGTTTCCTTGTTAATGCATTGAAATATTTCTCACTGAAATTCTTTCGAATGTGAGTGTTAAAAATGTTCTGTAGTCTGTATATTGATCCTGCTCAGAGAAGAAATGGGTCTGTCCTGGAGAGGGTAGAACCAGGGTGCCTCTTAGAGGCAAGGATTGTGACGCTCCAACTGACATACTTTGTCATTTGGGCATATTACCAGGAGGGACCAGTCCTTGGAGAAGGACATCATGCTTGGAAGGGTGGAGGGACAGTGCAGGAGAGGAAAACGCTGAAAGAGATAAATTGGCACATTAACTGGGGGTAGGTGTGTTGGAGACAGTGAAATTGGCTCAAGATAGGGCAGACTTCAGAGCTGTTTTACATAGGGTCACTGTGTCACCGGCGACTCGATGGCACAGAACAAGAACAGCAGTATGTATTGATCCATGCATTTTATCATTCTAGTAACTTTCTATCTTTGTTATTTAAAGACTTCATTTTCTGAAATAATTTCTAAGAAAACCCTGAACTCCACGGAGATCAGAGTGAATTTTCTATGAGCTTTGGAGCCGGCCCAGGTCTTTCCCTAATTGTTCAGGGGCAGATCATTTTAGGAGGGTCTAGCCCTCTTATTTATTTATTTTTTTTAAAGACTCCTGCAGTTGGCTATTTCAAGATCAAAAGAAGTGTCACAGATGAGCAAATCCAGTTAGTAGAAGCTCTAGTATTTTTTTTTTTTAATACTATAATGTAGGATGATTGAAAAAGTAAATGTAAATGTGTGCATTTTACGTTCCAGGTGATGTCACGACTCAGGTGGCTCTGCAGCCTGCACTCAGGTTCAATGGCGGAGGGCATATCAATCACACCATTTTCTGGACCAACTTGAGCCCCAGTGGTGGTGGAGAGCCCAAAGGTCGGTATACGCCAATGTATCTATCCACACTGTGTGTGTGAGAAGACTGAGTGTTGACTTTCTTGTTACCTTAATTCTTTCAGATGTGTCACTAGTGCCATGTGTTTCATAACACAGAGCACAGCAGGGTCCTAACTTTTGAGGGGTCTTAAGGGAGAGTGGATAAGACGTCCAGGAAGCTCTCATCGGGTGTACCCACGTACAAGTACAGTACCCAATGAGGAGTTCCCGGTGGCTTGTTCCATACAGAGTTGCCTTGCTAACCCAAAGGGCACAACCCTCTGGCGGGTTGACTCTACCCATGTCTTCAAGGGAGCAGGATGGGCAACTGGGCAACCTTCCCTCATGGATTACAGTCTCAGAGATCCGGTGGAAGGCTGCCTGTGAGTGGGTTTTGAATCTATGGCAATGAGGTGGTAGTGTTTATATTTCTTTTTTTTAGTTTCTTGACCATGTTTTACATGTACCTATATTAGGGAAGACCAAAGCAAAAAATAGTTTTTTAAAAACACAGTGGTTTTGTAAAATGATAAAATAGATCATCTAAGCTGTAACTTCACAAGTCGGAAGAATCCCTATGAATGACATTGGCGCAAGGCGCATTTCTGTGAGGTCAGACATGTCACCACACCCCTACACTCTTTATCTAAACCTTTTCTACCAGTTCCAGACCCCACCCATCCGTCAGCGCACTCTGCTTCTCTAGCTCAGTTCAGGAATTCATTACAGAGGCCACACAGAAGACACAGACCATTCATCGTTGGTTCTAGGCTTTAGGGCAGTCACAGTTCAGGATCAGGAGTGACGTAGGGTGCAGCTTATTAGCTGTGCCAGTTTAAGTGCCATTATCACCTCCCTCTACCAGTAATTTAGGCCCAAAGGCTTCTTAGTCTGGCTCCAGGAGTCAGCAAACCCAGCTCCCCAGCAAATCCTTGAAGGTGCCCACTCCCCCACAGGCCCCTGCCCGAAGGCGCTTGTCCTGCCTGCTTGTGGTCAGGAGACTCCATCTCTGTCCAAGGTCAGGGCCCTGCTTTTGCCCTGTGTTGCTGCGGTTTGCCTGCTAGCCTTGCCCTGCCGCTGAGTCGTCTGGGTTAAGTGCTCTCAGGTCCAAAGGACGCACTGACCTCCCTGCTCTTCCTTCCACGTGGTAGTGAGATTCCCTTTTCTGTCTCTCTGGTGTCCCAGTTTAGGCCTGGAGCAATGGCAAAACTGCCAATCCTGTGTTAGCATTCTATACATCTTCTTGTGCATTGTCCCACCCGATAAGTGCTGTGTGTCTTACTTTATTAAGTCTTTAGTATTCCCGAGGTGCTCAGAGCCACCTCGCATATGTAAGCCATTTGGTAGACAAGCTGCAGCAAGTAAGTCACTGCTCTGAATGGTTTGGTTTTTATTTTTTTTTTTTTAATTAATTAATTTATTTATTTATTTTAAAAAATTTTTTTAAATTTATTTTTTATTATTTTTGTGTGCATGTACCGTCAAATCAGATCTGACTGGTACAGGAGGAGATTGTCCCTTCTTTCCCAGCCGAGCATCTGGTGGATTCTGTTTGCCTCTGGGATTGTAGTTGCAGCTCCTTGCCACTAGGCCACCAGAGCTCCCCTGTTTTTTTGAATTTATTTTAATGGAAGTTTACAGAGACTTAGGGTTTCCAGCCATTCATTGTTTCACTTTTCTCCCTGCCCATCCCCCCCTTTTTTAAAAGGCAAACTTTTAGGACTGTAGGACCCAGAGTAAGATATTTAACTGTCTTATACTGACATTTTCTTTATCTGTATCCTGTTAACTGTGTACCGTAGAGTTGGAACCGACCCATAGCTGACCCTCCAGCAGGTTTTCAGAGGCAGTTAATTGCACGGGAGGAGATTGCCCCTTTTTCCCGTTACAGATTTAATAGTAGAACTATCATTGAATATATTGAGAATGAAATTTTACATATAAAATACTTACTATAGTTCCTTTTTGTTGTTATTTTCCTAACTGTACTTAGTTGTACTGGAAATTGGGCTTCGCAGGTGTCTTTTAGAAGGGTTAGAGAAATGATGTTATTGGCCCTGCTGCTTTAGTTTATATGCCCAGTCAAGTGTTGTATTCTAGATTGCTATAGAAAAAAACAGTGTAGCTCTTACAGTGTCCATTCAGTTCAGTAAGAGAAGAGAAACTCAATTCTTAATACAATGAGGACAAGTACTGCGTAGTGCCACTGTTGTAAAACTGGACTGACATCGGGGTTGGAGAGAACCTAAGAAAAGAGGAATAAATAATGTATACTGCATTGAAACAGATGAGGGAGAGAACTGTTTGAAAGGAATATATGATTAGGTGTTATTTTCATGACAAGATTTCAGAAAAAGAAATACATAGTAAAGTGGATTTGGAGGTGGGGGGATTGTATAACAGTGAAAAAGTTTTTTCTTTTCAAAGAGAAAAGCTAACTGGGGGAGAGGGGTGGGCAGGGAGGAAAATGTGCAACAATGAATGGGGGAAAATTTATATGGGAAGAGTATGCTGTAAAAAATAGGTAAAAAGAAATAAGAAAAGAAGGTAGTTTAGTAAGAAAAAAAAATGCAACAAAGCCCCAATACAATGAACAAGATAGGTCTAGATATAACAGCTGTAACTTTTTATTCCAAAACTGGGATATAGAGCAGATAAGTTAGATGATAAAAATTTTCTGTTGGGGCTGGAACAAGTGGGAAAAAGAAATCCCAAAACTAAAGGAAACAAGCATTTTTTTCCTGATGAAAATAGCATTGAGTGGAGCAGTCCCTTGCATACTCTGTTAAGCAGGCGTAGTAATGAAAACCGTGAAGCCTTAGGGTGCTGGTGGCAGGGACACAGAGCACGGCTAGATGGGTAGGGGTCGCCGGATTATGTCTTCCATGGTTCTAGTTGTAATGTCTGTTCATACGCGGTGCCTTTGAATTTTTCCCCGGTTGTGGTGAGAGAACATTTACAGAGCTAATTAGTTTTCATTCCTACGTGTTTTGTCTTAGGATATTAATTTTCTTAAGACGGTGTACCTGCACCTTTCCCACTCCCGTGCTCTGATGATTGTTTCCATCGATCCTCTGTCCTGCCCTTCCTGCCTTTTGAGCTTTGAGCCTGGGCAGGTGCTGCCCTTTGCTCTTACGTAGCCGATTGTCCAAGAAGTGAACTCCTCTCTGTGCTCTTACGTTATGGACTTGCCTTTTGCTGAAAGTTGAGCCACAGGACCAAGTCTCGTGGGTTCAGCGGGCTTCCAAGGGCCATATTCTCGGGGGCTGTCCCAGTCTGTTAGAGCAGTAAGCTGGCCGGTTTCATGGTTTTGACTTTTGTCCTTTTTTTTTTTTAGAGTTTTAAGTTTTGACCACTTTCTTGATTTAGATGCACAGTTTTTATGTATTTTAAATACTTAATATTTATTTTTTTTTTAATTTCCATTCATTCATTCACTGTTGCACTTTTCTCCCTGCCTAACCCTTCCCCTACCCCCACCCCAGTACAGTCTTCTCTTTGAAAAGTAAAAGTTCTTTCATTGTTTTAGACTTTTGTCGTACCTTTGCCACCTGTTCTGTCTGGTGTCATTTACAGTGATCCCTTTTAGAGCAGTCGGCATGGTGGTCAAGCAGCACCTAGGCCTAGGCCCTCTCTGGCCTGGGTCATGTTGAGGTGCCTGCAGCCCGTTAGATCCATGCACATTTGTTTCTCTGCCTCTTTGCTTTGCTTTCTCAGCTTTGTTCCATACCAGTAGTTGGATTTTAACTGGCTGCTCTTAAGGTTTAATTATTATTTTTTTTTAGAATTAAAATTGATGTGAGTGAATGTTTATAATGTAGGTTGCTTTTTATTCAACCGCCCAAACACCTTTTGCATTATAACATTAGTTAACAATACTCAGTGTGGTTGCAATTTTTCCTACTTAACAGACTGAGTAGAGACCGTTGTCTTACGTGTAGGATGTAGACCATTGTTTTTGTGGGCTGTGTGATGGCAGTTGACCTTGCTGTCTCCAGAGACTGGTCCTGAGGTCCTACGACCAGAAGCTCGTTCCTTCCTTCAGTGTATTTGGTTATGATTAAGTTGTTAAGTTGTTGACATAACCTTGCGCCCTGTTGGCTGTGTTATGTACATGGATATGTGAACAGCATATATTAATACACATGTAGACATATCACCTGCTGAATCTATTTGGTGCGTTGTGTTTTGTTTTTTTTTTAATAGGAGAGTTGCTGGAAGCCATCAAACGTGACTTTGGATCATTTGAGAAGTTTAAGGAGAAGTTGACAGCCGTGTCTGTGGGTGTTCAGGGTTCAGGCTGGGGCTGGCTCGGTTTCAACAAGGAACGGGGACACTTACAGATCGCTGCATGTGCCAATCAGGACCCACTGCAAGGAACAACAGGTGAGAACCCTCGCCAGACGTCTTGAGGGGGGATGCGTGTTGCAGGGAGCTGAGCTTGTAATGGGAGGAAGGCAGGTAGCGTTTAAACTTGTCATAGCCATGTGTGTGGTGCTCTCAGCGGCCCCGCAAACAACAGATTTGAACCCTGCTGTAGCCTGCACCATTCTAACCAGCCTCTACACCTTGACCCTCGCTGCAGACCATCTTGTTGAGGTTCTTCTCTCTTTCATGGACTCTCCACCTTTCCAATCATGATGTCGCTTTCCAAGGAATAACCCCTCCTAACAAAATGTCCAAAATGTGAGCTGAAGCTTTGTCATCCTTGTCTCCAGGGAGCGCTCAGGCGCTTTCCCTGAGACGTCTGTTTGTTCTTTTGGAAGTCCATCAGATAGTCAATGCACTTCTCCAACGCCACAGCTCAGATGCATCGGTTACTCTTCTGTCATCCCTGTTCATTGTCCAGCTCTCAGATGCATAGCAAGTGATTGAAAAGACCACGGCCTGAACCAGGCGCACCTTGTTATAATACTTTGAGAGGGTTTTAACACGATTTTCAGTGTCTTTTTGCGTAAGCAAACATGTGTTTAAGGTCCTTGATATTTTGTAAACTAGGCTTGTGTAATTTACACCAAAAAAAATTTGAAACATAAAGCCCATTTCATTCTCCAGAGAAATCAGTATCAGCTAACATGATTATGTGCACTGAAGTAAAAACAGATTAAATAAACAGGAAAAGAAATCCAAGCTGAGGCTGGCTTCGGAGCTGTCCCCATCTCTTCACTGAGCACCGCCTTTCGAGCTGGTTTTTGAGGTGAAAATGGGAGTAGGACGAGGACGTCTCAAATTGCAGTTTCTATTTGTATGAAAATATTTTGCTTAGATGCTCCTGGCTGGACTCAACCAAATTCCCCCTCCTTCCTCCCTCTCCTTTTTAAAAAACATTAAGCCAAATGGAATTAAATGCCCTTTAACAAACCCATGAAACCCTTGGTAACCAGAGGAGCCTGTAGCACCCACCTGGCTTCCCAGTGTGCTGCCATCTGGTGGGCAGCTGGATAGTTGCATGACTGAAGAAAAAGGCTTCATGTCACCAACACCAGCGCCGGAGACCCCACTGCTTGCCTCAAAATTCTTTATCTTTCATTTCATTGATGAAGTTGTCCATTACTGAGGACACATCATTTCAACCAAAAATTCACAGCAGAAAAGAATTTGGTCTTGAAATGACGGGAGTGTGGGAGACAGAATCCTAAGCCAGTTAGCAGCTAGCTGGGACTGTGCTCTTTGGTGTGAAGGCTCTAAAGTGATGCCATCGTCAGGCTGCAGAGTGGCAGTTCTTACCCACTTTTCCTGTGTCTACACAGACCTGGAGACTTGCTGCTATGACGCACTTCCCTGGTTGTACTCAGATTTTACCTGAATCTGAATAGTGTTTTTGGGTGAGATGCCTCAGGACTTTCTAACAGCCACAGAAGATTTGTGAGCCTGAAAAGCGTCCTTTGCCACATTGCTTTGAGGAGCACCTGGTGTATTTGAACATCAGGATTGCAATGCAGCTTATAACCACTGGGCCACCAGAGCTCCCTTGTTGATGTTAGTTGCCACCAAGTCTACTAGGGCTCATAGCAATTCCATAGAATAATGGAATGAACCCTGTCCTATCGTGTGCCATGCTCATCTCTCTCACCTTTGCTCCTCTTGTAATAGGACACATCATCTTAGGGTCTTTCCCTCCTGTGCTGGCCCTCCACTTTCCCTAGTGTGATGTCCTTTCCAAGGACTGGACCTTCCTAACAATGTGTCTGAAGTATGTGCGATAAGAGTCTCACCACCCTCTCTAAGCAGCACCCTAGCGCTATGCCCTCCACGACATACTTGTTCTCCTGGCAGTCCGAGGCATAGTTCAGTGTTCTCCAGCACCACAACTCAAAGGCATTGATTCTTCCTCTATAACGTAGGGTTGTTGTTTGGTATCACTGAGTCGGAATAGACCCATAGCCGACCCTTCAGTGGGTTTTCAGAGGCAGTTAATTAAATGGGAGAAGACTGCCGGAGGTGTCGAACTGTGTGCCTTCAGGATTGCAAGTGCAGCTTCTTGCCACTAGGCCACTAGAGCTCATCTTGTAGGGTAAACTTAATTTTTATTTGCATTGGAAAACCAGACAACTCACATGACTTGTTTGATTGCGACATTTATCATGTTGCAGTCATCTGTGTTACTTCATTTCTAAACTGTATATACTTTGCCTTGGTCTTAGTCATTTTCCTTAGTTAACTCACTTATAAATTCTTTATATCCCCTCGGACCATAGTTAATGTCTCTAAATTCTTTGCGTTTCCTCCTGGTAGTTAGGGAGCTCCGGTGGCATAGTCTGTAGGGTTCTAACCCAAAGGAATCGCGTCTGGCATTTCACATCCACTGGCTGCTCCACGGAGAAAGACGGGCAGGCTCTTGCCTGTGATTTATAGGCTCTGAAAACCAGCTGGAAGGTCAGCTGCAACAGTTCTGACTTGACGGTGATAATTTTCACAACCACACTTGGCTTTGGGAAGCAGAGCAGGCTGCTTCTAAACCCTGGTGCGCCTGCAGGCCCATAAAAAGAGATGCTTGGGCGTCTTCCCACACTAATTGAGGCTCCTGAGCCCTGGCAAAAATTGCTCTGATGGCCCTGTTAGTTATTGGTGTGTTTAGAACAGCTATATAATAACATAGTTAACGGGCGTTCCCAAGTTTATCTTAATTATTTTTACTACGCCACATTTTGGTCCCAAGAGTAGTGTAAAGTCTTTCGGGGAATATTTCATTTTATGCATATTTCCCATTTAAATAAGGAACTGAAACATGAATGAGAATGTTGTGATGGTTAATTCTGTGTGTCGGATGTTTAGAATTGGAATTGAGAAGCTGCAGCCTTTAGGTTGAATTGACAGTGTGTTCTCTCTCTCTCTTCTCTGCCCGTAGGTCTAATCCCCCTGCTGGGGATTGATGTGTGGGAGCACGCGTACTACCTTCAGTATAAAAACGTCAGACCCGATTACCTAAAAGCCATCTGGAATGTAATCAACTGGGAGAATGTCGCTGAAAGATACAGGGCTTGCAAAAAATAAAGCATTATCGTTACGTTGAGTAGGTTAAGCCCTTATGACTATTTTTGTAGTGGTGTAAAGTATTGCAATATATTAATAAACTGCTTTACATGGCATTTCTTAAATGTTGTTTATTCAGCTATTTGATGAACAGAATGTGCTGCTCTGAATACTTGATTTTATGATTTTGTCGTGGAACCGTTGTGGGCTTGGTGAGGCCTCGTCTTCCTGTTGGGCATTTTCTGGGGGGTTTTGCCGTTGGCTTTGTGGTCGTTAGGCCATGATGGAATCGCTGCTCTCTCCCAGGGGTCCCGTGCACAACAGAACAAAGCCGTGACGGTGCTGGGAAGGTAGATCTGTGGTCGTGAAGACCACTGACCGTCTCTCATCCCTACACATAATGAGACTGTTGGGAAGTCTTTCCCTCATATGCTGTTGCTATTCCAGAAATTGTAGCCTTGCTCCAGCTTAATAGTAAACCCCATGCTGGGGAAATGACTCCATTTTTTACTGAGAATTGCCTTTTCTCCACGTTGTTCTCCGTCTACTGTAATTTCTGGTGGATCTTAACCAAGTGGTCTTACTGCCAGTGGCCACGTTACACAGGGTTAACATGTACCAAAAACCTATAATGTGCTTGATAATTTCAAATAGCTTTAAGACAAGAGAATGGCTGTGTTTTTCAATTTTTCATATACAAAAATACTTGTCCTCAGGCGTAGAAATCCACATGTTGTATAAAACTGCCCAAAGTGGACACGTTCGGCCGCGCCTGTGAACAGGTCCCTCGGGAGGCGCTGCTCCTAAGCGTCACAGGCAGGACCATTGCAGAAGGACAGGCTGACCTCAGGGTGGGGCTAGCCGCGCACCTCCCGCCAGATCGCTTAGTCTAAGGACTTGCGCTTTTTTGTAAAAAAAAAATTATATTGGTTTATTTACAGGGTTAGAATACATTGTTTTTCACACTGGATCTTTCCCATTTCCTTCACCCCCTACCCCAAGGACTTGCTTTTGAGGTTCATGTGCTTCTGTTTTGTTTTTTATTTTCTTTTTAAGAATGTACAATCAGTGGTTCAAATCCACCAGATTCTCTTCTGAGGAAGGAAGGACAATCTCCTGTATCAGTCAAATCTGATTTGATGGTACACACACACACACAAACACAAAATAATAAAAGAAAAAAATTTAAAAATGTACAATCACTGTAGTGACTTTATATAGAGTTGTTTTTCAGTAATGGAAAACTATGCCTCTCCTAAGTCAGTGACGCAGCCTGTCAAGTTCCTGTTCAGTTTTTGCAAATTGAGCCACATCACTTGTAAACGTAGGGGGATCCTTTTGTATGTGGTCACCGTCACCATCCTTCCCACAGGTGGTTCATCGTTTGCCCAGTTATTTAATGCGTACTATTTTATCCAGGGAATTCCCTATTTTCTTTTCCTGGGTACTTATTATTGGATGTTTTGTTTCCAATTGTTAATTACAAATAATGCTATTAGAATATTCTGTGTAGGTTTCCTTTTCAGTCTACTTAGTAATGGGTTTGTATCTTTATATTTCTATTTTTAATTTTTCTGTAGTGGAAAAATGGAATAGCTTAGAAGTTTCAATATGGAAGACTGAAGTTTTAAGACAAATGTAAATTCAAGACACTTGATCTTAGAATTCAGTTTGAGAATTACTTAGGTTTCAGAAGTCCTCACAGTGCTTATGAGACCGTTCATGGCTGTGTATAACTGTGGGTAGATGTGTGAGGGTTAAAAGCCAGAGGCAGTGGTAGCCACCCTTCCATCACACAACTCGTGGAGCAAAATGGGAGCCACAGGATAACTGATCCTTTTTAAAGAGACCACCTGGAAGACCGGGGCCCTGGAGAACTGGGATGTAAGTAAGTGGTCTGCTAGATCATGGTTTGTATGGGACTGTCAGACACAAAGACTACGGAATTACAGGTAGCCTTTTGGCTGCTCCTGAGCTTTAAGGTCCCCTAACTATTCAATGTTGACATTTCTATGGGGCTCTGTTTTTGTTTTGACTTTATGTTGAAAGAACAGTGGAACAGCGGAGACTCAGGAGAGACTTTTTCCTCCCTCATGATGGCTTCTTCAGGAGACGGATCACTTACACTGAAGATCACTTACACTGAAGACTTTCTTAGCCGTGTTTTCCCAATAGAGAAGTTCTTCTGAAGAAACAGGCAGAGCTCTCTGGAGGGGGTTTGGTGGTGGGGTGACACCTGCAATGTCTGAGGTGTCCTGGGAGAGCTTAGGACGCCAAGGGCAGAGGAGGTACTGACAGAAGAGCTCCTCTTGGAGGAGCACCGTGGCTGGAAATGTAGCATAAGAGAAAGTCTAATTGCACACGCACCTTTATGGTATTAAGATTTGAATATTGCTTGAACACCTTTTAGAAAGTAACACAAAGACCACAAAATTCAGGTTAGTGTGTGTTGTGCGTCATGCCTAAAGCTAGGTAGATACGTAAGTTTTCTGTGTTAATTTCAGAGGAACAACTCTTTGGGAAAGCTGCTAAGTGACTCTTAGAAATGGTATTTTCTCATCATCAAGCTCTAGTCCTGCCTTCTAAGTTCCACATCAAACTGGGTGGGCACACAACTCCTCTAAGGTGTAGGCGCTTTCATTGTTTCTTAAAGAAACATTTATTTTCCTGCTGTAATTGTGCAGTGTTTTTGCTGTCAATAAAAGAACGTCAGTCACCAGAAGAGGTCTGCATTGTGTGTGTGTCAGAACGTCAGCAATTTTGTGGTGCTGGACCATTTTACAGCTTTACTGCGGGAAAGGAACGATAAATGGTAAGACCAGACCCCGTTGCTGTTGACTCCAATTCATGGTGACCCACCCTCAGGCTTCCAGAGCTGTATGTAAGTAAATCTTAGCAGGAGGCTTCCCGCCTTTCCCTCCCACGGGTTCCTGTGCTTGAACTGCTGACCTTTCAGCAGCCCTGCAGGTAATCTGCTATGCCACATACACCTGGGCCCCTTAAATGATGTTACATGCTGTTGAGTTGTAACCTATGCCTAGCTGATGGGATTTCAGAGGCTGTAAATCACAAGGGATGTCATCGCCTTCTCTTGTGATCTACATACACACGCATTCTATGCTGTATGGTTTGAACCGACTTGCAGCTGACCTGTCAGCAGGTTTTCAGAGGCTATGAATCACAGAGGAGTAAATGATCCATCTTTTTTAGAGTAGTTGGTGGATTTAAACCACTTGCCTTTTGGTTGGCAGTGCAATTCCTTACTCACTAGGCCATCAGAGCACCTGTATATATACATTTTATAAACTTAATAGAGTATTATTTTTGTCAGAGGCCGCTCCAAAGCACTGAAGAGCAAGGATGTCAGACTGGAGACTAAGGTACAACTGATACAGACCATGGTCTTTGCAATCACTTGCTATGCATCAGAAAGCTGGACAATGACTAGGGATGATAGAGAATTGATGTCTTTGAGTTGCGGTGTTGGCGAAAAGGATTGAATATACCATGGACTGCAAAGAGAATGAACAAGTTTGTCCTGGAGAGGCTGAAGCCAGGCTGCTCCTTGGAGGCAAGGATTCTGAAACTTTGTCTGACATACTTTGGGCATGTTGCAAGGAAGGATCAGTCCTTGGAGAGGGACAGCACAAGTGAGGAAGACCCTCGATGAGCTGGATTGACTCAGTGATAGGGGTAGGTGTATCAGAGACAATAAGATTGGCACAAGGTTTAGGACTATTGTATGAGTCGCAGGCCACTTGATGACACATAACAATTAGTATTTTAGATACTAAATTACGTAGTCTTATTGTGACCTCTTAGAACATATTTGAGATGCATTCTATACTGAAGGCTATAGTCTTTGAGCTTCATCAGTAAGTGTGTCAAGTCTCATGAAAATCAGGAAGGCACTCCAAGGTGGATACCTGCATGAGCCCTGTCTACAGCCCTTTGCTCTTCCAGCTCAGCTATTGAAGAGATGGACTGAGACAGTGAATGTCCTCCTGGCCATGCATGAGCTATTAAGTATTTGCCAACATCACAATTCAGACATCAATTCTTTTCCAGTCCTCCTTGTTAATGTTCAGTTGCCTCCTGTGCACCTGGAAGTTGCACAGTAAATAATGAGTAGTGGACCCAGACAGTGTGTGTCCGTTTGCAGCTGATTTCTTTCTCTCAGCTTACTGCCCTCTAGATGCATCCTTGTTATGTGGTGGTTCACAGATTTTTCAGTACTTGGTGTTGCACAACATTCCATTATATGTACATACTATAGTTTATCCATCTCTCCATTGATGGTCACCTGGGTTATTTCCACCTCCTTTACTATTGTGAAAATGCTGTAAAGAACATGTTTTGTTGTTAAGTGCCACCGAGTCGACTAGGACTCCGAGTGCCTCTATGAACAAAGGCTTGGAAGCTCTCCCTGCCCCAAGCCAATCTCACCATCTCAAACAAACTTGACCCAATTGCTACAGTCACTATGTAAATCCACCTTGTTTGAGGTCTTCCTCTCTCTGATCTTCCACCTTTCCCACTGTGTTTTCTTTCTCCAAGGATTGGCTGCACCTGACAACATTCCCAAAGTATGTAAGATGCAGTTTTCATCATCCTTGCCTCTAAGTGCACACTGGTTTCATTTTCCTTAGGACAGACCTGTTGGTTCTGTTGGCAGTCCATGGAACATTCAGTACTCTTCTCTATCAGCACAACCAAGGCCTAAACTAAAGCTGTTGTCCGGAACAAAAAAAAAAATACTGTATGGTTCAAAACCATGAAAGGAGCGCAACAGGTATGCTTTTTCCATGCCTTTCAATCTATATGCTGAATAGTTCATTCAAAAAGCTGGACTTTACAAAAAGTGTGGCATCAGGGTAAGAGGAGGGCAGACTCATCAACAAACTGCATTATGCAGATGACTCAACCTTGTTTGCTGAAACTGAGGAGGACTCGAAACTCTTGCTTCAGAAGACCAAAGATGATAGCCTTCAAGATGAGTTACATCACAACTTCAAGAAAAAATTCTCACCACGAAGCCAA